CTAAAATGGTTTGTTGATTAATGAAGTGAACAGTGAATCTTCAGCTTTTACAGTTACAAACATTACTATTCATATACTATACAAAAAAAATCAACAACTGTAATTTCACAGGAATTTTTCCAGTTTATGTTCCATATTATGTGGAATGTACATGAAATACATGGAAAAACCAATTAAAAACATGTGAATAACCACAAAATGTCATCTTTTTTCAAAAGAAAATTGTTTGTTTACAGAACAAAAGCTATTAAAATACTTTCAAAATTATATTGATTTCATGATTTCACAAATATTTGCTTTTATCTATTAGACAAAGCTGTTAAATTCAACTTTAATTCTGTAAATGGATGTATAAAGTGTAAATACCATCAGTCACAATGAACAGAAAAAGAAGAACTGGCTGTTTGATTTTGTATAGATTTGTTGGTTTAGTGGGAGATGTTTTGTTAAACTGCAGAGGTTTTCACAACAAAAATGTTCAATATCAGTAATCAATACTTTTAAGCACTGGTAATCTATCAATATACAGTTTTTATAGGTATATTGTTAAATGTATTTCTGAGATTTTCCATTATTTTCCAGGATTTTTTAGGAATCGAGGTGCTTAGAAAATTACAGTTTTCTGGAGAAAATTCTAGATATTTTAATTCAAATGTGGGCATTGCGTATAAACTTGTAAATGGCCTCTCCTCTTCTTCACTGTGGAATTTGTGTGCACTTGCTTATTATTTTAGATCCTCAACAACATCGTCTACGTACAGTTGCTGCACCGTTTCACTGTACTGCATTTAGGAGGTCAGCTTTCTCTGTAACAGTCACAAATCAATAATTGATGATGTGAGGAGCTGCAGATTTATCAGCACTTTCAAACCCAATTTATAATCTCCGCTAAAAGCCCCTCAAGCCTGCACTCACTGTCTTCGTTCCCAAATTCTATCCTGTGGTCTTCATGAGATGTATTGTTTCCAGAGAAGCTTCCATTTGTGATATGCTCTTGTGTTGCATGTGGTTTTATGGACAAGTTTGTATTTTATGACTATTCTGTCTGTTGTTGTGTCTCTTTTTGTTGTTGTTGTTGTTCTGATGTGGGACTATAGATGCAAGTAAAAGGCTGATATTTTTCCCTTTAAAATAAATAAATATGAGCAACAATCATCATAATCTGTGGCTCAGAGAAATGATGGGAATTATTCAGTGTATTTAATACACTACAATTAATTGCAAGACTTATCAGCAGTTAATTTAGAAAGAAAGTAAAGCCAGCTGCAGTTATTAGAACCTCATGATGCATATCTCACTTCATTTTTGTCTTCGCCATTGAATTTATTAGCCGTCCAGTGAAGCCGAGAGTAGTTTTCTTGCCAAGCCAAAAGAATCATGACCAAAAAAAAATCACATTTTTCTTCAGCATCTATAAAAGTCGCTGCAGGGGACTTTATTCCTAATCAGATTTGTGACCTAGTTGGTGAGAATTCAGTTTTTCAAATTTCTTTGAAAGTGATTTTTCTTCCATTTGGCTTTAATAACTGGAGCAGCCAAAATGTAATTTTCCCTGCAGGTCTTTATTAGCATTTTGTGAGAAACGGCTCATTCAAGAACGTAACTCGAAGCAGGAGCTGAAAAACAAAACTAGGCCTTCACCATAACAAACTTTTTTTTTTTCTATCAAGCCACACATTAGCATAAGCAGTTCTCAGACTTCCTTAAGTACAGCAGATTATTAGCATATGGGTCAAAGGCCAAGCAGTTTCCAGGAGCTCCTTGTCACCCTCATCTAACCACTGGGATGCTAATGCCTCCCCTCGGCGGAGCAAACAGCAGCCACTGTAAAAGCCAGCCGTCACCTCTGACCCCTCTTCCTAAAGTTGCCCCTGTTTCCCGCTATTGATCCTTCAGATTCCTCTGACGTCGAGGGTACGTGTGAGAATTCTCTCGCAGATAAAGGTATTTCAGGAGTCATTACCTATGGCTTACCCAGAGCTTGTGTGTGAAAACTCTCCGTGCAGAAAAGGCCACCGAAACGGATCATTAAAGTCAACCATGCCTGGTGAGGCTGGAGCGCGTGGTTCAAAGGTCGCACTGTTTCTAACCGACTGTTCGGCTCTGCAGCTTTTAAGTCCTTTATTCCTCACAGAGGCAGGAACGGGGTCAGCTGGACAACACTGACAAACGCAGCTTTGACACATAAGGAGGCCACATTCATGACAGGTAAGCAGCTCTCGTAAATCAGCTGGGAAACGTTTTCTTAAACCTTGGACGTTTATGTTTTCCATCAGTATTTGAAGTTCCACAGACCTAATTCTGTGCATGCATAAATAATTCAATTCAGGATTTCTCCATTTATTTAAAATACGTAGGGAACCACTGAAGTCCTCACCTTGACACAAAGTGAGCTGACAAGTGACAAAACACAGAAATGACCTCGTGATGCAAACATGCTTACTGCAAATTAAAATGGTTTATTTTTTTATTTGCTTGTTTGTTTACTAAAATGGCATTTAAGACAAGATAGGCCTTTATTAATCCTGCAGTGGGGGAAATTTGCATTACATTCACAGTGGTGTATAATATGTTGTCTGAAATAGTCTTGTTATATTTGAACCAAAGAGAGCTTCAACTTTCTAACAGGTCTGTTGTGAAAAAAAAGTCAGTAAACAATAAATGAACAGCAACAATATGTGTGTGTTAAAAGTACAGTCAGCACCACATAACATGGGCATTTATTGTGTTTACCGGAACCATGTTTTGCAGCTCATAACAGAAGCAACCGTTATTCACTGACTTCTGAAACGTGCATCATCTCAGTTTACTACACTTATAATTCTTCCAAAGAAAACTCACCGAGCATGACAATGTCAAAAAAATATTTAAGATGTTTTTCAATTCTAACCAGATCATCGGCTTTAAAACATTGAAAATATAGTAAACTTTATAACATAAAATCATCTCTGCTGTTACTTCCTTTTGTCCCTGAACAGATAAAATGGATTTGCTTCCAGTCCTGCTTATGTTCTTCACTGTTTCAGGATTTTCACATGTCCTGCATCCCAGTAAGTATTAATCTAGACCTATTCAGCATTTTTAGCATAAAGCAAGATATTGTTCAGGGAGAATTCTGACTTAAATGAAGAGCATCTCTTACTAATCTCAGTCCTACAAACATCTCAAACAGTTATCATGTTAATTATTAACTGAGCCTGTGAATGGCACAGCTAGCTGGAAGGCTCGGATCTTATCCAAACCACTTGGTGACTGATGTGTGTATTCTAAAGTGAGCTTTCTATCTGCGCTGTACAACAGGACTGACTTTCGCACAGATAGCGGAGCTGCAGAGAGATGACCAGTCTGACTGGAGAAGTAAGCAGCTGACAGATGTTTCTGTATCAGCAGAGGTGAGAGAAAACATCGCCGTGGAATCCACTGAGATACTGAAAACAGACGAGGAACAGAGGAGTGAAGGAATTCCTCCAGAGACAAACCCTATGCGGATCGCTGTGAAGAATGAAAACACTGGAGATGGTCTGACTTCACAGACAGACACAGAAAAGCAGATGACTGAGGAGAAGACCGAAGAGCATGAAATCACTAAAACTGCAAATACAGAAGAAATGCTGGACAGAAATCAAGCACATGTGAAAGGAAATGAGGAAAGGCTGACTCCAGAGACATTTCCTACAAGAATTATTTTACAAGAGGAAACAAAAAGAGACTCTGTACCAGACACGGTGGATTATGTAGATACAGAGTTTGCGGTAAAGATAAGAGAAAATGGGCTGAATTTGGTTCCAAACTCTAAAACAGAGACTGATGACGAGAGCAGGACGGTGAAAACAATGCAGACAGATAGCTCAAAAAACTGGGAAATGATAAAACCAGTTGAAAATCAGAAAATAGGGATACAAGAGGAAGCAGATGAGACAGATGTGAAATACAAGAAAAGTGATCCAATGGAGAGGCTGAAGCTGCAAATATTGGAAGAGGAGAGAGAAAGCAGGCTAGTTGCAGGGATTAGTCTTCATGAAGCGAGAGGAGACGCTCACGAGGATGAAACGATATCAGCAGCAAAGCAGGAAACTGTAGAGGAGGAAGGGGAAGAAATGGGGGAGGACATAAAAAATGTTAATAATAAGGAATTGGTAGACAGAAGAAAGGAAGATGGCGGAGTAGTAGTTTACAATCTAACACCTATGCTAAGTACATCCTCTGGGAAGGAATCAGAGAATCCTGCCACAACTCAAATTATCACTCAGTCTCAAAATCCTTCAAGTTCTCCTCCTTCTCCTCTTCATCATCATCATCATAACGTCCCCCCTCCACCTCCTCTTACACCCACACAAGCTCCCCCAGACTCCTCTCACCCTCCCACCCTCTACACCAAAGCTAGTTTTCTCCCTCCTTCTGCCAATATTCCCATCCCAACATCAATCCATCACATCTCAGACTTAACAGTGAGTCCTGGACACCTTTTCAAGCTGAAAGAATTGGATGAGAAGGCAGTTGTAGAAGCAGTAACGGTCAGAAATATATCATTGAAACCAGCCTGGGAAGAGCTACAAACACACACAGCAGAGGACACAAAGGAAATGAACGCAGTAGATCGACCAAAAGGAGGAGAATTTATCTCCTCAGTGCAAGAAGCAACGCCAGAACCCAAAGGGGCAGAGTTTATAGGCAGCGATTTAATAACCACACAGCCAAACCCAACTCCAAAATCAAATCCAAGCACAACACAGCCTACAGGCAAACCCAGAACTGTGATGGAAAATGACACCAAACTTACAGCGAAGCAAAATAAAACATCTTCCCCTCAACCGCAACTGACCAAAGCTTCAGCCAGACCACAGCTTGCAACGACCAGAACACCTTCAGTGAGGCCAAGGAAAAGCAACAAAAGTGGCAAAAGTAAGACAACAAAAACATCCAAGCAAAAGAAAAGGAAGAAGGACAATAAAACCCAAAAGAAGAAAGAAATCCGCCCAACAACACCGGCTCCTTACTTCATGGATAACTACTGTCCACCGGAGTGTGCCTGCTACGGACGGTAAGACAGTCAGGATACCAAATACAGATTAAAGGTATTGAACATGGAACACCTGATCATTCCAGAAACACACTTAGCTACATTATTTAAGGATAAAGGATAAGGTTAGTTTGCACTGACATGATTAGTCAGGTTTAGTCATTCTTCAGATCTAGTCGATCTAAGATAACATATGAATCTCAGGGAGCCACCTTTCCACTATATTCTGATACTTATTAATCCCCCCAAAAAAGCACAAGAATGATTCAACATTCTCAGAAATCCCCTTGTTTGCTTTCTTGCCAGGGACCAGCAGTGTATATTCTGATATCTTTTAGGTAAATATGACGCTTCTGCTAATGGCTGGTTAGCTTAGCATGGCACAGAGAAAATCCATTTGCTAACATGCTACATCTCCTTTCCTTGTATGGAACAAGCAGAGCAAACTGACTGCTGGTGGTAAAGCTTCATCGTCACCACAAGACAAGAGATGTGTCAGTCTACTCATCTAAAGCTTGCTAATGCTTCTGTCCCAAATGTCTTTGCAAAACTACATAGACAAGGTTGTTGGGGGTAACTCACAGAGACTCACGAAGGAGCAAACACTTCACAGATTTTAATGTTCTGGTTCACTAATTGTGACACCACTTCCTTGTAGACACCTTTAAGTGAAAAGAGACACATCTAAATATCCTTTTGTTGGAATACCCAGAAAATGACTATCCTATGGGCAAATAAGGGTCATTTCCAAAATGTCAGCAGGAAATGTTAGCTGCAGTCCTAATGTTTTGTTATGCAGACGGCACTAAGTACATGATCAGAAGCATTGATTTCAGAGTGGTTTAGGGTTTGCTAATGGACAACGTATCAATAATCTCATCTACTGTTTTCCCAGAGTGGTCCAGTGCTCGGACAAAGGTGTGAACAGGGTTCCTCATGGTATCCCCTTTAACGCCCGCTACATCCTACTCATGAATAACCACATCAACAGCATCCAGCTGGACTTGTTCAATGAATATATTTCTATGGAGTTCCTTGTGCTGAGCAACAATCAGCTCACAGATGGTGCCATAGAAGGAGCTTTTGATGGTGTCCCGGCACTGAAGCGCCTCTACTTGGATAGGAATCTCCTCCAAAGTGTGCCAACAGACCTTCCCGTTTCTCTTGAGGAGCTTCGTCTGGACAACAATCACGTGAGGGTGATATCGGAGGCTGCCTGGGCTCAGTGCCCCAGTCTGCTGGTGCTGAGCCTCAGCCACAACAGCCTGGGCAATGGGTCTGAACCTCTTCCGAATGCAGTGCTCTCTCCTCTATGCAACCTGCGCACTCTGAACCTGGATCACAACCAGTTAACCTCAGTGCCACTGGGGTTACCTCTGTCCATCAAGGAGCTCTATCTTAAAGGGAACCTCATTGAGCAGTTCCACAGTGGAGCCTTCAATGGGATATCAGGGCTGCAGGTGTTAGATCTGAGTGCAAACAGACTGACAAACAACGGACTTCTTCGGGATTCCCTCCTCAATGCGACACACTTGGAAAGCCTCAACTTAGAGGGAAACAGACTAAAACAAGTACCGCGGCACCTTCCTCTGTCGCTTAAAACTCTAAATCTGCAAGGCAACTACATATCTTCAGTAAAGAGAGCAGCTTTCAGCAACTTGAAAAACTTGGAGCACCTGGGCTTGGCAAGGAATAAGCTCTTCAAAGTGGCACCAGGTGCATTCAGGACGCTGCTGGTCCTGCACCAGTTAGACTTGAGCCACAACACCTTGCGCCAGGTGCCCAGACAGCTGCCCCAGGGTTTGCACTCAGTAGCTCTCACACACAACAAGATTCAGTCGGTTCCTCGTGATGCTTTCTGCTGGGGTAATAAGAGTCTGAGTGAGCTTGTGCAAATTCAGCTGGAGCACAATTCAATTGATCTGGGGAAGCTGGACGCACAGGCCTTTAGATGTTTACGGGGCTCTCAGGTGGTACACTTCTACTGAGCCACTGAACCTTCAGATGACAAGATCAAAACTGCTGCTTGGACCTTTCACCCACACAAGCAAACATTCGCTTTTCGCAGGACTGACTCCTTCAGTCTGCGGTCAATGCCTCTGCTGTTACCAGAAACTCATGGTGAAACTGAATAACAATATTTATTGTGTGTGAAATGCAATTCATTGTGTGTTACCGACCCAATTTTCATTCTCTGACTATTTTAATGACGCAAGCTGTTTTTCCCAGCATGCCTTTAGGGTAACAGAACAATAGTTTACATGCAGCAGGAACAACCTAATAAAGCTGTGTAGAACCAGAATGATGTGACTGCCAAACTTCAGTTTATTATTGACATTTTCTTCTGACCAGAGCCGAGCACAACAATTTAGAATAATTTCCAGCTAACATTTGGTTTTTATTCAGTGCAAATGAACTTAAAAAGCTCTGCAGAAACTTGTATGATACACAATCATATACACATGTATTATATTTCTGTCTTTTTCTATTTATCTCCAAGTGTTCAGTTGTCAAAAGAGTTTTTATGTTGTATTTGGCAGAATGTACTTTTTCTTTCCACTGTCAGACCGAGAATTTCAGATGGCTTTAGGGGCCACAGAAGTTTCCAGTAAAAGGACAAAATAAATAAGATTTTGGCAAAAGAAAAACGGCAATAAAATGCTCAGGGAGATGTTTTTGATAAATATGATTGGGAATAGCAACTTCAAGCAGGTTTTTAAATGTCTCCAAGTGTATTTTCATACCAAAGTGGAATGAATAATTCAGTTAGAAATCAGTGTAAAGGTAATATTGAAAGCCTTTTAGTTGGTGTGTGAATTCACTGAAGCTCCATTTACACAGACAAGCTCTATTGTTGTTCAAAAGTTTTTCTCCTTTTGTCATCTGAGTGAGACAATGGAATGGTTTTATTTGCAGGCTTTTGCATAGAAAAACTAATCTCCCAAAACCCAGGCACACACAAGATGGTTGTAACAGGAAAAGTTTCAACACTGAGCATTTTCGTGTTCAATGACTAGAAGTTCCCCCACACACTGCCATGTTCAGAAGAGAAGCCGAGCAATGCAGCTGGAGGGTATATATAGAGCAGAGGACAGGTGATTCAAGTCAACTAGTAATCAGCATGGACATAGAAATAGAGCTTATAGATCATAGAGCTAACTCACATGTTTTCAGTCAAACAAATGAGAAACGGATAATATCAGAGTAAAAACAAGGAAAAAGAAAACACAAATTGCATCACTTAGTTATGTAGAATATTTATGTAAGAATAGAAAAGTGACCAGCAGCCATACATACATACATACATACATACATACATACATACATACATACATACATACATGTAGTAGGTGAGGTTGAATCAAGAAACATGTAGAATTTTTCCAGAGAATTCTTTATAGTACAGTCATGAATACAGTATAGTCTTTAAGTGTAGGAAAACAGAGAGCAATTTAAAAGGGTAAAAGAAATATACATGTAAAATATATATTTGGAAGAATATATGTAAAAAAAAAAACAAAGAGCAAGTTTACATAGAAACACATTAAGGCATCCCTCCAAAGTACAATAACACAATCTAAATGCACACAGACATTAGTGTTTCAAAATATGAGTTCATTAAATGTATACATTAAAAAAAACAACTAAAAAACAAGCTTATATTTTGGGTGTTAACACATCATGTGTTGTCAAACTCTACATTGACAGAGAAGCTTTTGTTGACTTTTTACGTTAAAGATGAGTGCTGGTTGTTTTTTCTTCGCAATTTTCAACATGAATTGTTTGTTCAGCCGTTTCTATGGACTACAGCTCTTTGTTCAGCACCAGGTGAGCCGACTGATTGGAATCACCTGTCCTTCACTCTGCATTGTTCAGATGACTTTAGATCAGGGGTGTCGAATCCTGGTCCTCGAGGGCCGCAATCCTGCATGTTTTAGATGTTTCCCTCTTCCAACACACCTGATTCAAATGATCAGCTCATCATCAAGCTCTGCAGAAGCCTGATAACGATCCTGATCATTTGAATCAGGTGTGTTGGAAGAGGGAAACATCTAAAACATGCAGGATTGCAGCCCTCGAGGACCAGGATTCGACACCCCTGCTTTAGATTAACAGAATGAAAAACCTTTTCTTCCTTCTGCCTCAGCTAATAACATAGGTGCGTTGCCTTCAGCTCTTCAGAGAAAAAAGATGTCATGCAAAGATTGCATGTAGTATTTGTGCGGCTCAGTGAAATATACCAAATGTCCTTTAATAATTAAGACAAATAGACTCATCGCTTTGCAGTTCTGTGGCACAGGGACTCAGGACATTTGTTCCTGACACCCTTCATGTTTGCATGCTTATTGTTTGTGAAATTTCCCTTGTTTTTGTGCTCCAATCCCTCGACTGGTCCTTTTTGAAAAGGGAAATAATTACAAAAACTAACATTCAGTGGTGAGATGCTACACTTTCAAGCTCCAAAGTCAGTTCTGCTTGTTGATAAATGGAAACTGGTCCCAGTGCAATTTTACCATTTTTCCATAAATAAATAAACGCGGTTGCTTTCATGGCCTGTTTGTGACGACTCCTCTGCAGAACACAATGATATCATTAACTTGTCAAGATGTTGTGTGTTGTCAAATGATGGAAATGATGGATGGAAATGGTGCGGAACAAACAATATCATACATTTTAATAAGCGTTTACAAATCCCATCCGCAAGATAAAAATGGGTTTTCAAGGTATAAACGACAATTTAGATAAAGAATATGAAATTATGTGACGGGCTGCTTCATGGAGTCACAATGCACGAGAAAAATGAGACGTGTCAGAGGATTTTATTGACTGTGATGAGACTAACTTGGGTGTTTTATTTGTTCAAACAGTGTATATGTGTGGCCGCTCCTATGCAGTGAAGACTTGGTAACAAAATGTAAATATGCTTCTCACAAAACCGCCACTAGATGGCAATGACGTATAGGAGAGTTGAGATAAGAGCAGCCTCTGTTCAAAATATGTGAAATGAGATACAGAAAATTTTAGAAATTGGCTCATTTCCAGTTGCCAAATAAAAACCTGTGGCAGTTTAAATGCATATGCTTCATCTTGTGGGGAAAATGGTATATTTAAGGCTCACACCAGGCTGCAAACCACACACTCAAACACACACAGAGGCACAGACGTGAGTCACAAGAACAATTTTCGCCGAGAAGCAAAGATGTTTATGAACGTCTCTCACAATAATGTGAGAGGACACAACATGGCAGCGTGCCTGGAAAATATATACATGTGTGATGTAAATAAAGATTTTTTTTTTCCTACAAGAGAGAGAAAGCAAAAACGGAGAAAAGGCATTAGCCCACGTGGAGGTGCTTAGCATTTTTCTCTCTTTTTCCCCTCTTTCCCTCGCTCTAATAAGTTCACTCAGCAACGTGGCACTGCACCCACAGGGCCTGGGAAAGAGGAACAGGAGGAGGGGGCAAGTGGGAGGGAGGGAAGGCCGGGGGAGAGGAGAGAGGAGGGATGGATCCAGGCTCCACTGGCTCAGCGCGTGTCCAGAAGGGAAGAGCTTTGGCTGGGGCAGGCGGCTCACCAGCACCTCCCTACGGTCCAGCAGGACCCTGACCGCGACACCACGTCTACCTGCATCTACTGGAAACACTCCTCCCTTCTTTTTGTCTCCCTCTTACTTTTTGTTTCCCCCCCACTTTGCATCTTTACCACCTAAAGATTAGATTGTGCATCAACACCTATTTGCGCACACTACCTGCAAAAGCACACTTGTTTTCACAGACGTCTGGCGTTCCTGCGTGGGAGTCGGAACGATCTTCATGAACTGCTCCCTTGACAGATCCCGAACCCACGTGCTCGTTTAAGTAGTTTGGCAGATGGTTGAATTTATTTGTGTACCTCTGTATCCTGTGCTGGATGCTGTCTGATATTTAGGCTTATCCCAACAGGAGGTGTGCGGGATTAGTAGTAGTATTTGCCGGCTCTCTCCCGAGTCAAGCCCTCTGATTCTCTTGATTCTTTTCCAGTCAAACATGAGTTATTAGGCGGAACGATCATACGAGGCATGATCCAAAACCGCAACGCCATTAATCAAGCGTCACTCTTCTCCTTGGAAGCGGAGTTCGTCAGCGTGCATCAAGTGGTACTTTTTGGCATTATGCAATATGCATGCGGTTGTGTGCCTCAAGAAAAAAAGTCCCTCTCTTTCCAAAGCATTCAGAAGCAATGCATGCTTTGTGATTTAATGTGCAGAATTCACTCAGAAAACTGCTGCTGCGCAAAATCGGAGTCCTTTTTTGTGATCTTTTTTTTTTTGGACCATATTCATTAAGCTCCTGCAGGAATCAGACCATGAAAGAGACAAAAAAGAAGAACAGAGGGAACAGGATATTAAACCACACCCTGCATGTGTTCCAGCCAGACGAACAGTCTATCCTTCCCTCTCTAGTATTTGTAAAAAGTTCGAGGCCTCCTTCCTATGATGCACAAGAAGCGAGACATTATCAAAGGATTTGCTACTTTGGTAAATTTGTCGACCCACATTAATGGCTTGTAAATACAAATGTTAAGCTTTATGAGATACAGCAGGAATTATGTAGAATGCCTATAAATGAAGAGAAGAAGTAGATGTGTGTCAGCGACGGTGGAGACTGACAGCATATAATTTGTGGCGAGCCTTCTTCACATACAGTAATTGAATGCAGTTGAAGAAAGGCATGCATACAAATGCATATTTTGCTGTGTTTAAGGATGCTTGTCCATGTGTCTCTTTTTCGCTTCCCCTCTTGCACACGCGCTGTTTTTTTCTTACTGTACAGCACCATGAAAACCTCCCATTGACTGCCTTCATCTCCCCCCCCCCGAGCCCAAGCCAAGCTCACAACGCCATTCAACTTAACCTTAAATCAAAGATTTAACTCTCACTTTAAGCCCAAACTCCAAGGATAGGATTGACCCCCGCTCCCGAATCTCAAACCTAATCTTACAAGGATTT